TGTTTTGTCCATTACTTTACAACTATACTTACCGAATTTACCAATGTAAACCATGTCTGTGGTTGTTTCATTCATTTTATAGTTTTGTTCCATTTATTTTTTAATGGCGATAGATACTAAAATTCCCAGTAACTTCTTTCTAATTGATTCACAGAAACCTCCGCACGTGGTCATCGAAATCAAGATGTAGTGCGCCATATTAAACGCTAGAGGGAACAATATTACAACAAAGTGCTTGCATAGGACTCCTATCATTGAAGAATACTGAAAATGTCCATGTGTAAATATTTTCCTGGTTAGGACCCTGCTCTGATTAGATGGTAAATCAAAAATGTAACTCATACATAAACCCGTTATTTACTCTGGCGACAGGATATTTGCTATGTGTTTCCTAAAACAAGTTTATTATGATGTTGTTGATTATATATATATAGTTTGTTTTTATGTTTTCATCATTTTCTCCATCTTTTAACTAATCAGCTTATTACATTTCCTTATACTTGCCGTTTTTGTTTTTCCCTTGACTCTCACTAAGTCTTTCACCACAAACCTTTCTTTAAGTTCTAATTTTACTTTGTTTTTTCTGAATTTGAATCCAACATATCTGAAGGGTATTCCTTTAGCTAAATAGTGGATCTGGTGCTCATTGTAAGAAACCCCGTTACTATCTCTGAGCAGATGCAGAGACAGCAGTGGAACATGTGCAGCTGTCAAATCTTTTTCCTCAAGGCTATGTTCTTCTCTGACAAGTTGATTAGTGAGGAAATAAGTGTTTTGAACATAGACGAGGTAAAAAAAAAAAAAAAAAAAAAGACTTGTTGCTCTTGGGAATGTGCTCCGTGTCTCTGTCATAGCTCAGACCTGGGTTGTCCACATCAAGGGGACGTCTCAGACAACCAGCCTCTCTGTGTCTCTCTATCTTTGTGCAACAAGCAAACAGGAAGATTGTTTTATTTTCTATCTCGTCAACACACACAGTGTCCGAACTACATAAACATACACAGCGTGTTTGTATTGTCAATATAGTACGGACTAGGAAAAACTGGTTTCTGTGGTAGGTGTGTCCTGTCAGGTTTGGGAGTTGAAGGATTAGAGCATTTACTGCAAGCTACATGAATCTTGTTTTTTAGTAGTTTCTCTTTGACTGAACAAGGTCAGAGGGCAGATCATAAAAGAGAAGCTGCAGCTGAGACATGGTCAGAAATATGCAGGAAATGAGGTTTACTAAAAACACTTTCCATCTGGATAAGAACAGCAGCAGATCAGACAGTGTGTCTTATTGACACCAAAAACATGTTGTTCAAACTGTGAAGTGAAGCCTACAAGTCAAACACAGAATATTTGCCCATGAATGCCTCATGGCTGTATAGAAGGTGGGAGTGTTGGAGCTGTCAGAGCGTCCTTCGTTTTCCTTGCTCCCTCCCTCCTCGGCTGTGACTGCCCCTCTTCTACTATGTCGCTTGTCTTTTTGCTGAAAAGGGGAGGCTCTAAGTAATCCAATACCTGACTAATTCATAAACATTACTGTAACTCGCCGAACTGCTCTGACAAGTGCAAGGTCTTAGGCTGACATCAGTAGAAATTAGGCTCACAGCTCCGGCTGCATCTCTCTGAAGCCGGATTTGCTTGTGAAAGAAAAATTCTTAGGAGGGAACATATTAAAAACAAGGCTTTACTCAAAGAAAGAGTGGAGGGGCATCTGGGCACAGCTTCAAATGACTGCTTTTGAAGAATGATAGATGTAGCCGTGGGCTCCTTGTCGTCCGACATGTCTCAGGACAGTTCTGTGAGAGACATGGCTGAGAGCGAGACAGACTGCTCTGAGGGTCTGGATGAGGTTGTCATGGCCAGTTTACCTCTGGATCCGTTCCCACCCAAGGACTTCAGAGGGAAATTCAAAAAGATGCGCCACAAGAAAAGGCCCACCATTCTTGAAAGTAGGTGCTGTTTTTATTGGACGAGCTGTTGTGATCTCCACAGAAGTTTGGCTTTGGATACTAAAAAAGAAAAGAAAAGTGACCTTTTGGGCAGCTGCTAGCATCACAGTGTGAAATGTCTCACCTTCTTTTTGTATTTGTGCCCTGCTGTCTGATGTGTGTCGTGTTATTAAAATGGGAGAATGTCGCACGTCTGTGAATATCAAATAGGTTGAGTTCACTGGCAGTTATTGATTTAATCTTATCGTCCAATGCTATCAAATACCTCTGCCTTGTCAAATATTAGTTAATGCCATTGGCTAACAGCATCGAGTGAAAAGACATTTAAAATGAATTTGAAATTAACCAGGATATTTTGTTAGCCACAAATGCTATTTGGTGTATTAATGCACTTTTGTGGTCCTTCTACTCAATGGTTTAGTTACTGACTTTTCAGGCAAGGAGGCAAGAAGGAGCAGCTTATGAATAGGCAGGTGTGAAAACTAAGCAACAATCCTCGCATTAAGGACAGGGCCCTGTGAACACTCAACAAGTCTGGCTATATATGTATATATTTGGCGTGTTTATAGTTTGTCTACATGTTTTCATAATTTTCTCAATCTTTTAACTAATCACCCTATTAATTAAGTTATTGTATTAGCCCCCATTCCCGATGTTTTTCCCTTAGCGCTTAACATGAGACATAACATTACATAACATTTAGCATAACAGAACAACAGTTACTTAATGTTACTGATATATATCTAATACATTTATAGATGGGGATCAATAAACTTCAGTAGTAAACAACAATATGGCAACATTAGCTTGTGCTAAAACAAAGCTAAGTGTTAACCAAAACAGATTTTTCTTGAGCAATGTAACAGGTGCAAAGACAAAAAGTTCCCACTGTGTGGAATGAAGCACATACCTAAAAGTCCAGCGAATTGGAAAAAAAATGAGAAAAATGTGAGGAGTGAAGAGCCCTGTAAGTGAGACGTCATGGTTGGAGGGAGTCAGGAGTTGGACATAGAGCATGGACGTCTTAACAGGACATGTGGACATATCTCACATTCTTCTCAGTCATCAGGGCTTGATAATGTAATTACCTAATAGATGTCAGAGCCTTTAATCAGCTGAAGTCTAATGAAAATCACCATTTGTGGTTTGTAACACTTACATGACTGTCTGTTCTGAATGACATTAAAGTAATTGTCTCCAGACTGCTGCAGGGACATTAGCTCTGAGTGTCTGGTGACTGTTGTCTTTAATCTAACACATTTAAAGATAACCATAATGTGTTTTTAACTGTCAACAGAAGAATTAGATGAAAACTGTCCTGTATGACACAGCTTTTAGTTTTTTAGGACGAGAACATGTCAATTATTTCTATATAATGCGATTCTATAGTTGACAGATACTTGTCAGACATGTACTGTTTTCTTTTTAATTGAGTGATAAGTCAGGAAGGGCATTTGGCCTTAAAAATTGTTTTTACACAGAAAGTCAAATAAATATTCACAATTTAACAACCAATAATAAAACTTTGTCCAGAATTAACTTTAAAAAAGTGCCAACGAGATTCTGTAGCACAAGTTGCTGTAAAAGAAACCCAACGATTATTTAAGAAATAAGGAAAAGACCTTGACGATAAAAGTATAGCAAATCAGAATTTCAAATTCCGTCTGTAAAAATAAGTATGAAGTTTGGTCCAAAATGTTAAAGATTAGTCAGGAAGTCAAGGTACAGCAAAACCTGTTATCAAGTGTTTACCAGAGGTTTAGAATTATAACTAAAGGTCACACAAAGATGTCAGCAAAAAGTGTTGCCTCTGAAATAGCACATTCAATTTGTAATGTTATTATTCTTTAAACTATTTTAATCAGACAAAAAATCCCAGTTACACAAAGTGAAGACCTGTCTGTTTTTGATAAATGGATATTTCTGTCCATGTTCCTCAGTGAAGTTTTTTTCACTTCACTGTCTCTGACAGACATCTTACCCAACCTTTGGAGAATTACATAACTGTCTGCATCTCAGTGGGCCTCTCACTGGACGACTGAGTCCCACCATATTAAGAAGTAACGAAGAAGTTACTCTCGCCAACTGTTTGTTCAACCATCCATTTTCATCAATCACCGTTTTCCCTGATGGGCTTCTCTGCATCGCTGCAAAAAAAAAAAGAGTTAGATCTGCTGTGATAAGCTGGCCTCACTATTTTTTTTTTATCTGAAAACATCACAGACACACAAGTATTTCCTGTGTCCATTTTCCTAATCACTCCGGCCCCTGTAGTTAATGGATTCTTCCTGTGGCCACGCCTCACCATCCCCGAAACACCAACACATTTAAAAACCTTTGAAACGCAATCAGCACCGATGTTTTTGCAAAATGTTGTCCAAAGACAATGGAACGACCAACATTTCAGACTCAATGGAACTAAGAATGAACTTTAGCACTATAGCAACACGATCAAAAACTAATTCTAGAATTCAACGGGGGGTTTCCAGAAATGTGTGGTGTCAAACCTACTGGCCGGACTACTCTGCAGAGCTGCTCTGTAAAAGTGACACAGTCATAACTACCATTTAGGTTATTTGCTTATTGCAAAACAGAAGCAATTTTCTCAAGTTCCTTCAGGTACAACTAAATGAACAAGTGTGTCAGAAGCAGCGATACCTTCACAAATGATGACAAGTATACCGTTGTACAGGGTGGTGAATAGGTCAGTTGTCTCTCCCATTTTTTGGGGGTGGGGCTTAAATATTTTAATGACCTTTGGCCAGATTTCTG